AAGTCCAGGTCCAGATGGGTTCATAGCCGAATTCTACCAGACACACAAAGAGGAGCTGGTACCATTCCTTCTAAAACTATTTCAAACAATCCAAAAAGAGGGAATCCTTCCCAAATCATTTTACGAGACCAACATCATTCTGATACCAAAACCCGGCAGAGACCCAACAAGAAAAGAAAACTTCAGGCCAATATCCATGATGAACATAGATGCAAAAATCTTCAATAAAATATTGGCAAGCCGATTGCAACAGCAAATCAAAAAACTTATTCATCATGATCAAGTAGGATTCATCCCGGGGATGCAAGGCTGGTTCAACATACACAAGTGTATCAATGTAGTTCACCACATAAACAGAACCAAAAACAAAAACCACATGATTATCTCAATTGACGCAGAGAAGGCATTTGACAAAATTCAACAGCCTTTTATGCTAAAAACCCTCAATAAACTCGGTATCGATGGAACGTATCTCAAAGTAATAAAAGCTATTTATGACAAACCAACAGCCAATATCATACTGAATGGGCAAAAACTGGAAGCATTTCCTTTGAAATCTGGCACTAGACAAGGATGCCCTCTTTCACCACTCCTATTCAAGATAGTACTGGAAGTCCTAGCCAGAGCAATCAGGCAAGAAAAAGAAATAAAGGGTATTCAAATAGGAAAGGTGGAAGCCAAATTGTCTCTATTTGCAGACGACATGACAGTATACCTAGAAGACCCCATCGCCTCAGCCCAAAAACTCCTGAAACTGATAAGCAACTTCAGCAAAGTCTCAGGATATAAAATCAATGTGCAAAAATCACAAGCATTCGTCTACACCAATAACAGACTTAAAGAAAGCCAAATCAAGAACGAACTGCCATTCACAATTGCTACAAAAAGAATAAAATACCTTGGAATACAGCTCACAAGGAACGTAAGGAACCCCTTCAAGGAGAACTACAAACCACTGCTCAACGAAATCAGAGAGGACACAAACAGATGGAGAAACATTCCATATTCATGGTTAGGAAGAATTAATATCGTGAAAATGGCTATATTGCCCAAAGTAATTTACAGAATCAACGCTATCCCCATCAAGCTACCATTGACTTTCTTCACAGAACTGGAAAAAACCACCATGAACTTCATATGGAACCAAAAGAGAGCCCGCATAGCCAAGTCAATTCTAAGCAAAAAGAACACAGCGGGGGGCATCACACTACCGGATTTCAAACTACACTACAAGGCTTCAGTAATCAAAACAGCATGGTACTGGTACCAAAACAGAGATATAGATCAATGGAACAAAACAGAGGCACCGGAGGCAACACAACATATCTACAACTATACAATCTTTGATAAACCTGACAAAAACAAGCAAGGGGGAAAGGATTCCCTGTTTAACAAATGGTGTTGGGAAAACTGGCTAGCCATGTGCAGAAAGCAGAAACTGGACCCCTTCCTGACACCTTACACTAAAATTAACTCCAGATGGATTAAAGACTTCAACATAAGACCTGGCACCACAAAAACCCTAGAAGGAAATCTAGGCAAAACTATCCAGGACATAGGAGTAGGCAAGGACTTTATGAACAAAACACCAAAAGCATTGGCAACAAAAGCCAAAATAGACAAATGGGACCTAATGAAACTCCACAGCTTCTGCACGGCAAAAGAAACAGTCACTAGAGTGGATCGGCAACCAACAGAATGGGAAAAAGTTTTTGCAGTTTACCCATCTGACAAAGGGCTGATATCCAGAATTTACAAAGAAGTCAAACGGATTTACAGGAAAAAAACAAACAAGCGCATTCAAAAGTGGGCAAAGGATATGAACAGACACTTTACGAAAGAAGACATATATGAGGCCAACAGTCATATGAAAAAATGCTCATCGTCACTGGTCATCAGAGAGATGCAAATCAAAACCACATTGAGATACCATCTCACGCCAGTTAGAATGGCGATCATTAAAAATCTGGAGACAACAGATGCTGGAGAGGATGTGGAGAAAAAGGAACACTTTTACACTGTTGGTGGGAGTGTAAATTAGTTCAACCATTGTGGAAGACAGTGTGGCGATTCCTCAAGGCCTTAGAAATAGAAATTCCATTTGACCCAGCAATCCCATTACTGGGTATATATCCAAAAGACTATAAATCGTTCTACTATAAGGACACATGTACACGAATGTTCATCACAGCACTGTTTACAATAGCAAAGACCTGGAATCAACCCAAATGCCCATTGTTAATAGACTGGATTGGAAAAATGTGGCACATATACACCATGGAATATTATGCAGCAATCAGAAATGATGAGTTTGTGTCGTTTGTAGGGACATGGATGAATCTGGAGAACTTCATCCTCAGCAAACTGACACAAGAACAGAAAGTGAAACACCGCATATTCTCACTCATAGGCGGGTGATGAAAAATGAGAACACATGGACACAGAAAGGGGAGTACTAAACACTGGGGTCTATTAGGGGGAAAAGGAGAGGGCCAGTGGGAGGGGGAGGTGGGGAGGGATAGCCTGGGGAGAAATGCCAAACGTGGGTGAAGGGGAAAAGGAAAGCAAAGCACACTGCCATGTGTGTACCTACGCAACTGTCTTGCATGCTCTGCTCATGTACCCCAAAACCTAAAATCCAATAAAAAATTAAAAAAAAATAATTAGGAGATATTTCCAAGGAATCTTCTTTATTTTGATCAGTATTTATTTATTTATAAATTTCTGTCAGAGTGGGGGAAAATATTATTCAATACAGATTCCACCAGGATTGTAGCTAAGTATCCACATGCTGAGGCGAATTTCATCCTCAAGGTATTTATCTATGTAAACCAGCATCCATGGAGATGGTATATAACTAACCATGCAGATTATTCCCAACTCTTCCCTAATTCTTGACCTTAAGTTCTCTTTAGGATCAGCATTCTCTTAGCCACTTTGTGGCTTACTCAGATCTATCCCCCTAAACATAACACTCAACCGTTCTTATTCTATGGTTCTGCCACTTTACCAAGCTCTACCTGGTAATGGGGAAATTGATTCTGTTGTTTTCATATACCCCAAACTGATTTGGGGTTCTGTTGTCCCCCCTCCCCACTGGAGATTAATCTTGGGTGAACAGGAGAGAGGTAGTCACAGAGTATGGGATTCCTTCTTATTTGCCATAACAGGCACAGATTATTGTAGCTCAAATAACAGAAATTCTAGCCATCAGTGGCTTAAATATCTCACACAATGAGAGGTCTGGAGATGCAGATGAGGACTGGTAGAGCAGCTTAGCTATATTGCCAAGAATTCATCTTCCTGCCATATGTCCTCTTTGTCTTCCTCAGCTTTTGGCTTCTGTTATTGTGGCTGTCATTATTGTGCTTTTCAGTTCACAAGATGACTGCTACATCTCCATGACACATCCATGGTAAAGGTGGGAAAAAGGAGTAGCACCAACTATGTTCCACTCAATCAGAAAAGCTAAAGCTTTCTCAGAAACTCCCCAGAAAAATTTCCTTCTACCACATTGGGTTAGCCAACTACAAATGACTGTCACAAGAACCATGGATATTTAAATTCTCAGTTTTCTTCGCATTCTCTTCATCCCTCATAATCCCAGGAAACTTGATGTAGTCTGTCTAGGACAGATACTGACTCGGCTCATTTACTACCCATTTGCAGTCACACTGTCCATTGCTTTTCTCTACTCTACAAGTTACAGACCTCTAAATGCTTAATTTCTCATTTCTCTTGGGGCTAAGGGTGGTCATGTGACCTGGTTCTAGCCAATTTGATGCCTGAAGATACGACAGCTATCTCATGACTGTGAGGGGATGAAAATGGATACCAACAAAAAGATTTAATTTGGAACATGATGGCACTATGGATTTGTCGTATCAGACCTGTGTGATCTACCTCTGAACTGTTCATGTAAGACTTGCTTAAGACAATTGTAGAGTTTTCTGCTACTTGCAGCCAAATGTAATCCTAACTAATATACACAAGAAATCATGTTTCTATATCAGTATTTAGGTCTTCCAAGCTATTATCTTTGCCAGAGCTATCTTCATTCTCCTAAAAGGTCCCAACTTCCAAAATTCAAAAGCAAGAAAACAATCTCTTTTCTCTGACATTTTTTTCAGGTCAGACATTTAGCTGTGTCAGAAAATGATTCCATATAATTTGTCCAAATGGGGAAGGGCTATGTGAGATACATGGAAATACAGGGAGAAAATCCTTGACACATTTAAAAATATATCTCACCATAGTTACACATATACAGAAACCCATCCAAATTAGGCTAAGACAGAAAATTTATTGGGTGGATGTAAGTATATCTTATGGATCTAAGGATAGGAAGTCCAGTTGAACCTCATTATGAACTGGAACCAGGAACTGGAAAGTTATGAAGCAGTGCAGCTCTTCTCCCTTTCCTCTATGGTAACACAATCTCATGATCTACTTTCTTCTCTCTTTCATTGGCTTTATTTGCTTCTGTGTGCACATAGTAGAAAATAGTCATTTCAGCCTTATTAGCTCAAAGACAAACTAAGATTGACTAACATCTGTTACTTTTATTTTTCAAACTCTCTGGAGACATAATCTGATTGGTCCACTTTTTTTTTTTTTTTTTGGTTTTACATCCGTCTTTAGTCCAATTAGTGACCTTGGGTATGGGGGCCAAATGACTTTGCAATTCTTAGGACCAAAGGAGAATACCCTTTTGAAAAGAGGCAATAGATATGTATGTGTGTGTGTGTCAGTGTTTTTGGAGAAGAACTCTACTACTCTTCTAAAATTTTACTCTGGGGAAAGGTAAACCAAAGAAATGATTCAGTCATTCTACAAACATTATTCTCACTTGTTCCTCCTCTTATGTTTTCTCTCACAGAATTCATCTAGTTGCTCATGTCATAAACCTCTACACAACTAATTGTTATCATAATAGCTAACAATTACTATGTGACAGGTGTTCTACATGTGTTATATTAAATTCAGCCTTACAGCAACCATACAAGTAGGCATTATCTATTTTATTGATAACAAAGTGAAATTTAGAGATGTTAAGTCAAAACTTCAACAACTCTATTGGATTACTGCAATAACCTCAGGTCTCCCTGTCTCTGATCTGCCCTGTGGATCCATTTCTTTTTTAACCCAGTAATCATAGTGGTATTTCTAAAACACAAATCTGGTAGTTACTTTTCTGCTTAAAATCCTTCTATAGTTCCCTTAGGATAAAGTTGAAATTACTTTACAAGATATATACAGCCTTCTTGATTTAGGTAACCTCCATCTAACCAGCCTTCACTCCATCCTCATCTCTTTCAGTCACTCTGTCCTAAGCTGCACAGAATATTTGTAATTTTTAACAATCCACAAAATAAATTTATTTTCTACTCCTCTTTTCTTCTTTCTTCTTCTTTTTCCTTCTTCCCCATCCTTCCTCCTTCCTTTTTTCCTCTCTGACAAGGAGTCACTTTGCTGCCCAGGCTGGAGTGCAGTGGTGCAATCATAGCTCACTGCACCTTGAACTCCTGGGCTCAAGCAATCCTCTTGCATTGGCCTCCCAAAGTGTTGGAATTACAGGTGTGAGTCACCATGCCTAGCCTTAGCGGTCCATTTCTAACTTTATAACAATCTCCACGCCATTCTCCCAGCTAACTTCTACACATTATTCACATTCAGGTCTCAGCTTAGATATTACCCTATTTAGAAGCTTCCGCTGATTGAAATGAGTGCCCTTTCTTTGTACTCCTGTATTACTCAATGCTTTTCTCCTATACTTATTATACTATACTGCAATTTTTTTTGTTCACTTATTCTGTCTTTTGCATTGGCTTGTAAAGTCCTTTAGTGGTGGAATTATGTCTGTCTCAATGCTGAATACATTAAGTCTACTATGTAGTTGGTACATAGTAGTTACTCAATGAATATTTGTTATATGAGTCTTAAGTTTGGAAGACCTTGCTAAGCTATTTGGAGAGAAATAGATAGTCAGCATTTCTTGTTTAGTGAATAGATTATTCTGATGGCTATTTCCCTTATCTCTATGCTTTTGGCTTACAGTTTATAAAAATTAATCAAATTAGTTGGGAAAAGATATAAAATGATGTAATTAGAAAGTGATATAAAAATAGCTAAAATTGTAAGATAAAGAAAGCTGAGTGAAACAATAAGGTTGTGGGATGGACTGGAGGAGAAAAAGCAAGGAACTTATTCTTTTCATAGCTTACTAAATAGAGTGTACTTTGCTGGTAAATCTCATTTAATCCTCACAGTAATTCTTTCTGGTTGATACATTATGCCTGTATTAAAGACAAGGAAATTAAAGATCAGATTAGAGCAAAATAAGTTGAATGACCTCGTATCTAAGAAGCAAATGAAAGAAATGTAAATCAACCCTAGAGAGCATTAGGAAAAATATGTGAGTATAAACCGTCCCTTACCTTAAAAGATCCTTTTTCTAGGTCTGGGCATCACCTTTCGAGTTTTCTGTCTGAACTGCATTGTATGTAGGGATACTTGCTTTCTTCCACCAAGATAAATTCCACCTTTTTACTCAAAATCCTTCTTGAGCAAAACTTGCTTCATTAGATTTATTTTCTGATTTAGGTAAACTTTTTCAAGTCTAATAAAGCACCCTGACCGCTCTTTCAGGAAAATGTCAGCAACACAAGTCGTGAATACCAAAGCAAAACAGACTCTCACTGTAGATCACACAGGAAAAAATTAAAAGCGACCGTAAGAGTGGTAGTGTTTAAATGACCATATACTGCTTAGTAAGAAATCCTGGAGTCATTCTCCAGTTCCCCCATTTCCTACTTTTGTTAAGCTGGATCAAGTCTCTAAACTTTCTCTGTTTCCTTGTCCATAAAAGGAGGATACTAGTAAGTGTTCTGCCCACGTCGGGACTTATGTAAGGATCAAACGAGATATTATATGTGACAACACTTCACGTTGTCACATATAATAAACGTTTAGTAAAACGCTGCAAAATGTTTGTAGCTGGTCACAAACAAAATCGTGCAGATTAGGTTCCTGGGCGGAACATACCCAAAGAAGGCCTGTTGGTGGGACAAAAAACGCGGAGCGTTGCCACGTGACGTCATCACTCCGCGCCCTCCGCGACAGTTCCCCAGCTAGGCTCAGAGCAGAGTTTCGCGTCATGGGAATTTGGCAGCGTCTGCTCCTTTTCGGTGCGGTGTCTCTCCGGGCTGGTGGTGGGGCCGCTGCCTGGCTTGGGGGAAGCCGAACTATGGTTTGTCGGCGCCAGGTCCGTGGTGCTGCAGGGCATGGGGAAACGGGCGGACAGAGATGCTGGGCTTCAGGGCCTTAGATGCCCTTACATTGCTTCTTGCCACAGACTCGCCTCAGTTCCTGAGACCTCCCCCCGCGCCCGTCCCCGAGTGTCCTGGACGTGCCTACTTTTCAGGCAGACCCAGGCTGAGGCGTGGCGGGACATGAAACACAGTTAGAACGTACATGTATTCTACATTGTTTTCTTGGCTTTGAGTTATTTAGCAAATAGATTTAAAAAAAAAAGCAAAACACGTGGAAGCCTTAACTCCGTAAAGAGGCAGAGTATTTACTTTCCATTTTTAAACGTTAAACGTATCCTAGTAGAAAAAAAACAGTTTAAGCAATGTTTCTTTACAATTGTTACCAGTAGAAGTAGGTAAATGTCTTCAAAGTGCAGATGAGCAGAATTAGAAAAGAAAGCCCTCTTACGTGCAAATCCCAGATTGTTTTTACTTTTACAATGTGATGATGGACATGCCTTATTTAAAACGGCTTTTTTTAAATTGTATTTTTTACAAAAAGTTATCTGGCGCCGAGAGTGAGACCCTAAAACAAAGAAGAACACAAATCATGTCCCGAGGACTTCCAAAGCAGAAACCGATAGAAGGTGTTAAACAAGTTATAGTTGTGGCTTCCGGAAAGGGTGGAGTTGGAAAATCCACTACAGCAGGTATTATAGAATATTAATTCTGTTCCTGATTAAGAACTTATGCCAACTGGCAAGTGCACACTATTAAAATTATGGTTTTGTGTTTTAAAAATTTACTTGTGAAGTTCCTAATATGTGGTTCCTTGGTTTCAGGAGTTGGTAGTGGGTTGATGCTTAGATTTTGGAGTTACACAAAACTAGGTACTAGCTGGGCCTCCTACCCCTTAACTCAGGAAAACGTGGTCAGATTGTAAAGCAAATCTTCGGTTCACTTAACTGTAAAAAGGAGATGATAACTTCTTTCATAAGATGGTTATACAAATTGCTCGAGCTAACCACTTAGCCTAGTGTTTACTAGTGTTCAATAATTGGTTACGTTATTATTTTTAAAACATCTGGTAACTTTAATACTATTTAATAAATTATTCCTGTTTTGGGATGTTCTTTTCCAGTTTCTTCAGTTTATAGCTACAAATTTGCAATGAGATTGTTTACATTATTGTGCCTTTTAAAATGTAACCATAATGTAATTTTCAACATTTATAAAGTCAATATAGATCTACTACTTGAGAATGCTTAAAAATATTTAACATTGTTTTAATTATTTAAAATGTGGCCTAATCTTTATATCTTTTATATTATCATACAAGCAGAGAATATTTTTTTGGTGGGTCTTTTTATTGGTTATCGATTTCATTGTCATGGAAATGTTGCTTTCAGAACTCGTAAAAGAAATGCCATCAGAAATGTGAGATAACAACCAAGACCAATAACCAGATATTGCCAAAAATTTTCAAAAGAAAACTTTTATTTCTAAAAAAAAAACCAGTTTAATAATGTAAAAAGGGAACCTTTCTTATTCCAATGGTACTCACCAGGGTTAACTTATATTATTTTTTTTCAGATTTGTTGAGTTATAATTGACAAATTATAATTGTATATATTCGTGATGTAGAACGTGATTTTGATATATGTCTACATTTTGAAATGATTTTCACAATCAAGCTAATTAACCTATTTATCATCATGTTACTTTTTTTTTTTTTTTTTTGAGATGGAGTCTTGCTCTGCCACCAGGCTGGAGGGCAGTGGTGGGATCTTGTCTCACTGCAACTTCCACCTTCCTGGTTCAAGCGATTCTCCTGCCTCAGCCTCCCGAGTAGCTGGGACTACAGGCATGCGCCTCTATGACCAGCTAATTTTGTAGTTTTAGTAGAGATGGGGTTTTACCATGTTTGCCAGGATGGCCTCATTTCTTGTCCTCGTGATCTGCCCGCCTTGGCCCTCCGAAGTGCTGGGATTACAGCCGTCAGCCACCGCGCCCAGACGGAAAATTACTTATTTTTGTTTGTACTTTCTGTGTTCCTCTATGTACTTGTTCTTTACAAGTAAGGGTTATATGTTAACATATTTTTATGCTTAGGTTATTACATTGAAAATATTAAAAGGTAAAATGAATATTAATAGAAGGAAAGTTACTAAATTTATTTATTTTTCTTTCTTACAGTGAATCTTGCACTTGCACTGGCAGCGAATGATTCGGTAGGTGTTTATTAATATAAATATTAATTTATTAAATGTTAAAATGATAAAGAGCATATTGGTGTTTTTCATTTACTCTGTCAGAAGCTATAGTGTAGTTGTAGTGAGTTGCATTTCTTTAAGAAACTCAATGCTGCCCTCACTTCTGGTTACATTTAGTAATAATAATAATGTATTTAAGTGTTAACCATTTATTGCTTGCTATATATCCCATAAAGGCTTTGATATTCTTCTGTGGAGGTTATATCCTAAACCAATTTTGCCTTTATGATTTACAGAAGCATTATTCTGGATTCAGTTTTTAAGTGTTGGGAATTCAGTTTTTTAAAGGGCAAAACTATTCTAAAATTCAAATGGAATATGTGTGTAATGTAAAACTGAAAGTTTATGTATTTCTTTCTGCTCCAGAGAATTAACTTAGGCTATAGTTTTATGTGTATCCCTTCAGCTCTTCCTTTCTCCATATAAAAATCTAAAAAAACATATATTTGTGTATGTGCATACATCTTTCCATGATATGCCTCATTCTTAATGGCTGCTGCATTAATGGTCAATAACACTGCATTTAACTAGTTCCCGTTTGATGAAATATTTAGGTTGGTTCCCATTTTTTCCCTACTCTAAATGATGCTACAGTGGAATTCTTATATAGTATTCTTATACACTAAGTGATGACATTTTTGTAGGATAAATTCCTAGAAATAAAATTACTAGGTCAAAAGATATTCCTATTTTAAATTTTACTCCTAAAAGTTTGCTTGTAAAAAAATTTGTTCCATTCTTTTCCTTGTGAGAAGAAAAAAAAAAATTCAGCTATAGTCTGTGGAAGTATCCATTTTTCAGTTTTATTATTTTTAGATGTTATCTTTTTAGATATTAAAAAAAAATTAACACTGAACTTATTTGTAACTCCATAAATTATCAGCTACTTAATGAAAAGAGACGTATTTCAGAATTGATTTTAATTTCTCCTTCAGACCTATTTTATAGAATACAGGCAAGAATCCATACCTATTTTATATAATACAGGCAATAATCATTTAATATGTTTAACTGTGGCTATACTGCTAACTTATTTTCTACCCTTACTATGTAACTTCAGTTCCTAATAAATAGCACATATGAAAAAATAATGTGTGGTATCTATGTAAAAGTATGATATCAATGTATGGAGTCCAGAATCTGCCATACCCTGGAACTAGACATAGTTCATATATTCTGATTCATATCTTCTGATGCTTGGCTCTATATTTCTGAAAATTGGAAACTAATAAACAAGATTTATAGTAATTTGGTTATGTAAATTTTATTCACTGTAGAAACAGGTTTTTTTCTTAAAAAATCTTTTTCAACTTGCTTCCTTTTACGGGGGACCTACTTTCATCTTTCCTGTCTTGTCCTCTTTCTTGAATTCTTTTTTTGTTTTTCTGAAGGACATCCTTGAGTCCATTTATGCTTTGGTAGGCAGAATAAGGGTCTGCCAAAGATGTCCACATCCTAATTCCCGGAACCTGTAAATATGTTACTTTTCCTGCCAAAAGGAACATTGCTGGTATGACTAACACCAGCAAAATTAAGGATCTTGATACAGGAAGATTATCCTGGATTATCTGGCCAAGTCCAGTTAAAGATCCTTATAAATGAAAGATAGAGGTAGGTCAGAGTCAGAGTGATTTGATATGAGAAGGACTGAATCCTTCTCATATGTTGCTGACCTTGAAGATAGAAGGGGACCACTATTCAAGGAATGTAGTCAGCTTCTAGAAGCTAGAAAAGGCAAGGAAATTGATTTTTCCCTATAGCTTCCAGAAGGTATGTAATTCTGCCAACACCTTAATTTTAGTTCATTGAGATCTATTTGGACTTCTGTGATAATATCTTACAGAAGTAGGAAACTAATACATATAGGAAGTAAATTTGCTTATTTCTTTAATTTCCAAAGAAATTATTTATTTTGTCTTCGTTATTTGATAGTTTAACTAGATTTTAGTTAACTATAGAATTCCAGGTTCAAAATAATTTTCCCTCTGAACTTTGAAAACAACATTCCATTTTCTTCTAGTATGCTAATAAAATGTCTGATGCTAGTCTGATTCATATTCCTTTGTAATAACAAATATTTTTCCTCTCACACTTTTAAGGTTTTCTTTATGTTTTTTTATGTTTAAAAGTGCCACAAGCATGTGTGTAGTTATTGGCTTAACCTCTGTGGGATTTGGCCCTGCAGTATCAAGCCTTGAGTATTTTTCAGCATAGGAAAAATTTCTTCTGCTCATTGATTATGTTTTGTGATGTATTTATTCTGTCTCCAGAAACCTATTAAGTAGATGTTGAACTTTTAGCTTGTTAATTTTTCTCTCATATCTCTATCTCTTTGTCTTTTGTTCTGTGTTTTGAAAGATGTCTTTGACTATTTTTCACACTGCTGTATTGGACTTTAGTTGTTATTAGTTTCTTCTGATTTTGTTTTTCACTTGGAAATTATATTTTTTCCAATTTTCCAGAAATATTTCTTATTTTCCACTTGCTGTTCCAAAAAAAAAAAGGATTATACCATTATCTTGAATCTCTCTGAGGATGCTAATTGGAATTAATAAAAAATGTTTTTCTTAGTGACCTCTCCTTACTTAGCATAGTTCTTATGTGGCTGTCTGACCAGCAGAATCAGCTTGAACCTGGGAACTTGTTAGGCATATAAAATTTTGAGCCTTATACTAGACTTACTGAATCAAAAACCCTGGGATTGGAGATCTGCAATCTGTGTTTTAACCCACCTGCTGGGTGATTTTGATGCATGCCAAAGTTTAAGAACCATGGATCTAGAATTTTTAACTTCTAATCTGCTAATGTCACTCTTTTGTTTTCTAGTGTAGTTATGGTTTTATTTAGTTTTAGACATTTTGTTTCCTTGTCATTTGAATGGAATTTGGAAGAGAAGGGAGATAAACATATATGTTTAGGCAACCTTATTGAGATAAGAGCCAGTAATATGTTTCATTCCTAGTAATTTTAATTATGGCAGTTAGTTACCCTAGAAAAAGGACTCTGTCTTCCTTAAGGAAGAAATAAGGAAAATTCAATGAATGGAAAGGTAGATAAATTTGTAGATGTGGACCTCTTTTAATTTGGATATCATTTCAGCCAAAGCTTTGAGTCTTGTAGACAATGTGAAGAAACTATATAATAAGGGATCAAAGGATGAAAAAAACAGTTAACCCATTTCCTGTTTAGACAAAAAAAGTACAGCTCACTGCCGGCCCTCATTAACTTTACATCAACATGCTCTTTGAGGCTGAACCAAATCTGACTGATTTTCAATGTGAAAATAAAATATAAAAACTCTTCTTGGAGTTATTTCTAAACAGAACTAACATTAGAATTGTCTGAATCATCAGAATCATATATTTCAGAAAAATTGGATTCATCAAATGAATCTTTGGCCAACAACTGTTGGAGGATATTAACATCACCCTTAGGAATACTTCGTTTTCTAGGATTTGACATTTTCAGTGATTGAGAATTACTATATTTTGTTGAAATGCCGCTACTAAAAATAGAATACTATAAATAGAATAATGTCTTTTGTTTCCAAAGTTGATATACTAGAGTGATGTGAAAATAATAATAAAAGCAAGATATTTTGTGATGTGGCAAGACCTAATAAGATAAGGTTGTAGGCCTAGGGGAAACAGGTCCAGGAAGCTATTCATTTTACTTTTCATATTGTGCTTAGTAATAGCCGAAGTAGATTGTTTAAGCCCCAGGGAGATTTGCAAGACAGTCCATTGGGATATGGGCAGAAAATTTTTCTTTTCTATTTGAATTAATTTTTATCTTAATTTTTGTATATAACTTATATATGGTAATTAGTATAGTAGTTCTAATACAATTTATAAACAAATATATTAACATTGAGGATGTATGCCCAAATACCTTTTTAAAAACTGGTTGGAGTGCATGATCAGAAAAGTTTGAATTTCACTGGTCTAGGCTAAAGGAATTTCTGGGTTGGACCATATGCCCAGTTCAAAAGAAGACTACCTTGTGCATTGATGGGTTTTTTTTGTTTGTTTGTTTGAGACAGGATCTCGCTCTGTCACCCGGGCTGGAGTGCAGTGGTGTGATCTCAGCTCACTCCAACCTTCACCTCTGGGTTCAAGTGATTCTCATTTCTCAGCCTCCTGAGCAGCTGGGATTACAGGTTCCCACCACAACATCTGGTAAATTTTGTATTTTTAGTAGATGTGGGGTTTCACCCTGTTGGTCAGGCTGGTCTCTACCTCCTGACCTCAAGTGATCCACTTCAGCCTCCCAAGGTGCTGGGGTTACAGGCGTCAGCCACTGTGCCTGGCCTGCATTAAAGTTTTAAAAGCATTATAGGAATAGGATGTAGATTTTTTTCCTGCCTTTTCCTTTCCTTTTGTATGTTCCTTTGAGGATGTGGATGGTAGCATTACAGCATAAAATTTGGGATCATGTGTACTATGCGTATAAATAATGCAACCAGTGGTGTGCCCGAACCAGTACATACTGGCTTGTGAGAGCTGATTGTTAAATTTTCAGTGAATTTTGCAAACTAACTCATATCATGTTGTTAGCTTGAAAGAGGCCATGATGGGAATAGTTAAACTGTGGAAACTGGCAAACACTGAAAATCATGCCCACTCCCCCACCGATCCTATATATTGACTTATTTTATGATCTTATTTTTTGATTTTTCTTTTTTCGCATTCTTAAAAGCACCCTTATTATGAATCTCATTCTTTTACAGCATAAATTTGATACACAGTGTGGAAGATCACTGAGACTGGGAGAGGGAAACTTAAAGACCATCAGAAACCAGTGATAAGCTCTGTGAGATTCCTAAGTCAGTTCATTTCAGTTCATTTTAGTTCAACAAACATTTACTGAGCACCTCTGACACTCATTGCCAGACACCAGGGGAATATAAAGAAAAATAGACATATACTATGGAAGCTCATAGCCTGCTAAGATTATAT